TTTTTTATTGACCCGATATATTTGGTGAATGCAATCATTAAGAGTCAAATATCGGAGAAATTCCTCATAGTTTGTGTGCTCATACCGCTAGGTGGACAACTGAATTTATCTCCATAACCTATCATTGCAGTTTCCATTCTAAGGGGGTATGTTCTGTGACGGGAACCTCTGGAAAAGGGGGAGAGAACGTCCACCACAACCAAGCAGGCGAACCCAGGAACGAGCCAGCGGAAGAGCAAGGCGAGCACGAAGGGAAAGAATGCACGGAAGCACTCACATTGAGTGCGACCCTGGACCGTATTGCTAAACTCGGCAAGGAGCTGGAAAAATTTATTGAATACAACACTAAGCGCGAAATAAAAGAAATCTGTGTTAAGTTGAAAAGACAAATCAATATTACAAGTGGCACAGAGATCTCCAACTGGCTAAACCAGAAAAGCATATGGTTTCACCACAGAAAAGGGCACGGCGAACGCAGGTACGCAGACGGACAACAAAGATGCAATTACGAGCCTGGAGAGCCACGACAGCTACAGCGCTCTGAGGGAAATCCTCAACAAAAAATGGGACGCGGCGGTGTACACAAACACCGAGTTCAAGGTGGGCAACCCCCTGGAAACGGAGGACAGCATCACGAAAGTGCTGCTGATATCCAACGACGGATAGGGACAGGGGAGCCTCATTGAGAAGTTGTTCCAGGAAAAATTCCCGGAAATGAAAGATATGGAGGAGGACTTTGGTAACCTGGAACAACAGGTAAAAATCAAAACAAAGTCGCCAGCAATCATGTACAACAAGAAGACCGTCAAAATCGTATACAGCAGCGAGGAAGACCTCTTCAACAAGCTTACACGCCTGAGGAAAGAGACGTCGGGGGAACCCATGATAGCGACGCACCAAACCAGGGATGTTAAATCCGGGACTCTGAGGAAAATGCTGGAGGGAATATTCCACAATTCCGCAAGCAAAGTGGTAATTTACACCAGGCCAAATGGGCCAAGCCAGCCCACGCCATTGCAAGCCATACACAGGGAAAGGAACCCACCAAATACCTTCACCATAGTTGTAAGTAACACGGGGAAATCCTACGAGGAAACCCTGAGAGGGGTAAAGGAGATCCTCACGACGAACAAGCTTGGGGAGGGTGTTAAGGCGCTGCGCAGCACGAAAGACGGCCGGCTTGTTATTACCACAGAGAGACAAGCAGGTATGGTGGAAAAGATAAGCAGCGCACTTCAAAGCAACAGCGAAGGCGCCGAAGACATCAAAGTCGTGGGTAACCAGAAGGCTAGGGAACCCATCCACATCAGAGGACTGGAATCACTGGCCTCTAAAGAGGACGTAGTTGCCGCTCTGCGCCGGAGGCTTGATAAAATCAAGGAGGAGGACTACAGCCTGAGCGACTTGAGGCCGAACGTCAACAACACACAAGCCGTGACCCTAATGATCGATAGGGGTATTGCAAAAGAGCTGCCAGGCGAAAAACGGATCAGAATAGGACTGGTCCTGTGCAGCATGGAGGCCCGGATCAATCTGCAAAGATGCAGCAGATGCTGGAACTACGGGCACCAGCGGCAGAAATGCACAGGGACGGACCGATCCAAACTGTGCTTCGCATGTGTGCACCAAGGAGCCGAGCTGCCCCATATGCCAAAAGAAGGGGCACAGAGCCGGAAGCGGCAAATGTGACGCCTTCAAGGCTTCCCTGACGGAAGTGAAGAAGGCGCTAAGGAAGGAGGGTCAGAGGCTCACAAGAAGGGAGCCCAGAACCACAGGGGCGCCTAATAGCAAGGGAGCAGAGCTACAGCAGGCCAATGCGCAAGAAGCGGTGGACAGGCCTGCTCCCGGCCAACAAATATGAAGAAGCTCACGAAGGCAACCGCGCAGCCCCTCCACACCACGGCTGACCAACGCCAAACGGCCATGCGCTTCCTGCAGGTAAACCTCAACAGATGCCGCAAAGCGCATGACCTCATGTACAGGAAAATGCTTGAGGACAACACAAGCGTGACACTAGGGCAGGAACCGAATAAAGCACTCAGCCACACTACAATATGCGACGATGCCAGGGACGTCTTCATCAACGTCAGCAGAGGCCTCAGAGTAAAGAGAGAGTACAGGGGAACTGGCTACGTAGGGGTCGAGCTGGAGGACCTATCAGTATTCTCTGTTTACCTCTCACCAAACGGCGACTATGAGAACTTTGAGAAGCTGCTCAACGACCTGGAGACAATCATCAAGACTTCGGGCATGAACGTGTTGATAGGCGGCGATTTAAACGCCAAAAGTGCAATATTCGGCGAATGCAGGACAAATAGAAGAGGGACGCTGCTGGAGGACTGGATGTCAGCGAACGACCTGGTGGCCGTCAATAGAGGGAACACTCCAACCTTCTCAGGATCGAGCGGGGAATCCCTAATTGACGATACCATTGCCACAATACCGGTAGCGGGAAAGGTCAGTCGCTGGCAGGTGCTTACGGAGGAGGAAAACCTGAGCGACCACCACAGCATCACCTGCAGCTACTGCAGTGGACCAGAACCCCGGAGCAGCCAAATCCAGCCACAAAACTCGTGGAGGTGGACTGGGAATCCGACAACAGCGGAGAAGTTCTCCAGAGCCCTCTCACTACGCGTCCAGCAGTTCCCCAACATCGACTCCCCGGAAGAGCTGATGGAAACGATAACCTCGGTCTGCGAAAGCACACTGCTAAAGAGGTCGCCCACAGGCAGGAAAGGGGTGTACTGGTGGAACGAAGAAATCGCTGGTAAGCGTAGGGAGTGCATGAGAGTTAGGAGAAAGCTTACAAGGGCAAAGAAGAAAACCACAAGCGAAGCCCAGGATATCAGGGCTCTGAAGGACAGCCACGCGGCGGAGAGGAAAGCGATCAGGAGCCTGATCCAGAAGAGTAAGCAGGCGAAATGGAGAGAGCTGATCGACGACAACAGAGAAATCTGTTGGACAGACTGCCCCAGGCTGGTGTTCTGGCGCCTGGGGGTGTGCCGGGATGACGTTCCGTTCCAGGAAACATCGACCGGCTAAAACTCTTTCCTCCTACTAACCCCCCATCTCCTCCCGGAACCGTGATTAACATTACTTCAGGGGAGAGGTTTGCTTGCCGAACGTCGGCGTGTCCTGCCTATCGCCGTGGGGATTGCATTCTCCTTTCCAGGTCACATTTGGTTTTCATTATGTCCTGGATCATTGGACGTATGACGTCCCATCCGTCTTTGTTCGCTAGGATGGTCCCCATTGCATCTTTGGTAATGCATTTGCCGCATCTATCCGCAGCTTCTGCTCTGATGCCTTCAAATTGGCGACATACAAATATGGTGTGCTCCGGTGTGTCCGAATGTTCACAGAACCAGCATTGGTCGGATTCCTGCTTCCTGATCGTTTTTAGATAGCTGCCGAAGGCTCAGTGGCCGCTTATTGCCTGCGTGACGAAATGGTTTACGTCCTTGTATCGTTCCTCCTGCAGCCATACGTTCAGGTCTGTGATGAACACCTTTGCCCATCCTTTGTAGTCGCCCCATTTCCGGATTAGGGTGGTCCTGTGTAGCTTCCTGGAGGCCTTTCCGTCCTCCTGGATGCTGATCCTCTCTTCCACCATCAGATCCAGTGGAGGCAGCCCGGCCAGCACCTGCGCCACCTGTGTACTTATCGTGCGGTACGCTGCCGTGATGCAAATAGCCAGCCTTCTGTTGACTCTGTC